AAATGGCTCAAAGAGGTTAATTTATCAAATGTTATTTATCTATTCATTTAATTATTCAACAAATATCAGGTGCTTTTCAGGTGCTAGGGTTTTCCAAGTGAAGAAGGCGGCCAAGTCCTTACCTTTGTGTAGCTTACAGTTTAGAATGAAGGAGGCAGACAACAAAGAGGCTGAATATTAATCATGGACCCTAAGTACTTTTCAAGTTTTTATTCATTTAAGCCTCACTACAACGAGGGAGGTACTACTGTTCCCATTCCACAGAAGACAAAAACTGAAAGACAGAAAGGCTAAAATATCTTCCACCAAGTCACAGAGGAGTAAATAAATGCCACCAGAGTTCAGCCTTAGGGAGCCTGGCCCCGCAGCTCCTAATCCCACGCTACACTGCGGCCCCACGCCACGGTTTCACTGCCGCGGTGTCCCTGTGAGACTGAGTTTACCAGGGTGATGGCCGTCAGAGTGGAGAGCGCGCAAATCTCATAAAGGACTTCCGCTCTGATGCGTCTGACAGGGAAGCTGCCATTTTTCTTACTGAAGAGAAGGGACTGGGGCTGAAGAGACCACATAGTTACTCCTATCAGCTCGCGCTGATTTCTCTGGCCCGGAATGTTCTCCTCCTCACTGAAATCTCCATCCTTCAAAACTGAGCTCGAGTCCTGCTTTTTTGATAAAGATATTCATCACTCAAACCCCTCTGTCATTTTCTAAACTCATTTTGCTGTTTCTGCTATTTGGCTTAGTATTTAGTAGCTGTTTAGTATTTAATTTTTCCGTATGTTTTTGTCCGTTGCCTTCATTAGATCATGAGCTTCCTGGAGGCAGGGACCATGTTTTGTTGGCCTTAATTTTTTATTATAAAAATGTGCAGGCATTCACAGAAGTACAGAGAGCTATGTAAGACATCTCTATATACTCACCAGCCACTTGAACAATTATCAGCATTTTGCCTCATTTCACACACACACACACACACACACATCCTTTTTTTGTTAAAATGTTCTGTAGTACATAGTTTAGTACACATTTTAAAAAATAAAAAAATGGACATTTTCTTAAGTAACCACAACACCTAAACAAAATTAACAGTAATTCCTTGGTATCATCTAATATCTAGTTATGTTCAGATTTACCTCAATGTCTTTTGACATGTGTTTTGTTATTAATCAACATCCAAACAAGATCCTTGAACAACATAGGGTAGGGGTGCGGGCCTCACAATGCTGTTGAAAATCTGCAGATGCTGAAGTCCCTTGTATAAGTTTTCACTCCCCCAAAATGTAATTGTAGCCATCTGTTGGGATCTGTAGGGAGCTGGCTCCTTATAGAAAATGGTGTAGAACAATGCACACACTCAGCCCTTCTCATCTACAGATTCCCAAATGTGGGGCAAAAACGCTGTTCTTGATTTGCAGTCAGCTGAATTCAGAGATGCAAAACCCCAGGTACATGGATGGAGAACTGTGTATCTATTGGAAAAGCCACATATAAATGGATCCATGAAGGTCAAACCCATGTTGTTCAAGGGCCAGCTGTACTGCATCTGGTTATCATGCCTCTTCGTTTCTTTTATGGTAAAGCAGCGCTCACCCTCACAGCTCACCAATGAACTAATGAAGACACCCAGTCATTTCTCCTACTGAGTGCACCACATTCTGTATTTGTCTGTCTTGTTCCTCATAATCCTAGGGGTTATATTTTTCATTCATTTACTCAACAAATATACATTAGGAGCAGAATATGAGCCAGAACTCTCTAAAATGTAATGGCTACAACAGTGACTACAACTACAGTCCTGGCTCGAACAGAAGAAAGCCTTAAAACAAATAATCACACAAAATATTAATTATTAGCAATTGTGGTATATGCTAAGAAGGGAGAGTATAAAGCAGGAAGAGAAATTATAGCAAGTAAACCTAACCTTCTGTAGGGGGTCACAAAGAGTGTTTATTTTGAATACTTCAAAGCGCCTTGTACAGTGTTAAGTAAACGAACATCCAGTATTTCTGGGTTGGCTGGGACATGAGTTGTAAACGAAAGGACACAGCACCACCTTTTGAGTTCTGTGCATTAAATCAGATTCTCTTATTACAAGTCTGTGTTACAGAAGACTGAAAGGGTAAACAGATAGTTTCCCCAGGTAAGGTAAATTATTTTAGAAGTGAAAGAAGAACTCAGGAAATGGCTACATAAAGTCAAAGAAAAAGACCAAATTTCCTGACCACCAGTTTGGATATTAGGACAATGAATTTTTGACAAGAAACAGAATAAATATCATTGAAACCTAGAAGAACATGTTTAGTAGGGTATCTGCCACACTGTTCAAAAGGGCTTTAAAGTTAACAATGATGAAGGAAAAGTAGCCAGACATACTTTAAGACTTGATATAATAGAGGGTAAACGACAGAATGAAAAAAAAAAAACAGTAACAGAGGGGATAAATGACAATCCAGATCTTCATTATAAAAGACGATAGCACTGTTTTTAAGTAAATTATGAAATATATTACTCTTGCACAATACTGCCTTCTTAAGAACAATATAAATGTTTACATTCCCCTTTGTTTCAACCAGATGTTCGTCTATTTGTGGGCAACAGCGTATTTTTTGAGTGTCTTGAAAAGAAATGAATTGTAGTGTGGACTGAATTGTGTTCCCTGCTCCCACCCACCAAATCCCTGTGTCAAAACCCTAACCCCCAGTGTGACCATTCTCAGAGACAGGGCCTTTAGAAAGTAAGTAAGGTTAAATGAGGGACCGTAAGGATGCGGCTCTGATCTGGTAAGACTGGTATCCTTATAAGAAAAAGAAGAGAGATCAGGGCTCACACTCTCTCTCTCTCTGACATGTAAAGGCATAGGGAGAAGGTGACTGACTGTCTACAGGCCCAAAACAGCCCTCGCCAGAAACTGAAATAGCCAAACCTAGATCTGGGACTTCTAGCCTCCAGAACGGTGAGGAAATAAATATCCTATGTTTAAGCCACCCCATCTGTCGTATTTTGTTATGGCAGCCCAAGCTGACGATTATGCTTTCCTAGTTTTTTTTCCTCTCTAGTCTAAATGTTAAAGCTCTCCTTAATGATTTGTAGACTGTATCTGCATAACTCGAAGGATACATCAGAAACTAAGGCTGTGTATGAAAGCATTCCTTGACATCTAACCAAGTAGAAAGGGGAAAACTAATTGGTCAATGTGCTTCCTAATCAAGGGAACAAAATAGAATGCATGGTTTTTATTTGCTTGCATGTACTTCTAAACTCTTGAATTTTCATATTCTTTTCAATACAAACAGAAGCTCTCCTCAGGTGAACCAGATCTGGGTATTTTCAGCTGTGGTCAGCTTCTCTCTGAATCCCACTAGGGTTTGGTGGTGCAGAGTAAACAAGGCTATAAATCAAATGCGATGCATTTAATACCTCAATGCATTGCAAATTGATCTGAAATAGGGGTCAGTTCATATCTTTTTTTTTTCCTTAAGTGAAACTGTCCCCTTACCATGAAGGGAAGGAATGGAAGTTAAAGATAGCAAATCCTAAATTTCTAGGGGATTCGGAAGTGTGGCTGTTTGTTAGAATAGAAAGAAGCCAGGTTTCTTCAGGTGAGATTCTTCAGTTACTTATCAGGCTGGAACCATGGGTATTTAAAAACACACACTGGCTGGCATTAAATCTGAAATCTGGTGGGCAACCTTTCAAGAAATAAAAGCTACAAACAAAATAGCTTTAGTTCCATTCAGCATGCTGTGGGAAATGGCTAATGGACAAGCATTACTATGACTGGCAAGGCGAGCTGCCAATAAATGAGAGGGGCAGAGATTCAAAACCACTACATAACAGCAACACTTCCTAGGCTTATTTCACTAATTTGTCAAATCAGGACATTATCTGAAATGAAAGCAAAATGAGGTTGGAGAGCACGGGGAAGGAACTATTTAAAAGTAAAAGCTATGTTTCCTTCTCTATTGGTTAGTTATCTCTGTTTTGAGCAATTATGGTTCACTGCTACCATTTCCTAATACTACATTTTGTTTTACTAAAGGCAACATTTTCTTCTTTTCAAATGACAAGCAGAGAGCTATTTCTGGTAGGAAAAATTTCTACTCTGCCTTGTTTTTTTCCACTAGGAAGAAAGGAGGTCTAGCTGTAGGATGGGAAAGAAGTGTAGGGTTCTGATAGGCGCCCCTCAGAGAGGGATGGGGGGCATCTTCTCCTTCCGCCTGTCATTTTTTTCCCTTGAAGAAAAATCTTAAGTGCTGTATCCCCCCATCTTCTCTCCATCTTCCTTGTAAGTCTTAGCTGCTTCTTTTAATTTTAAACAACAAACAAACAAAGAAACAGTTAAGTAGGTCAATACTTGCAATCTGACATTTGGAATGGAATGAAAACTATCCTACCATAACGGAAGAATGCAACCACTTACTAGTTCAAATCAGCCCAAAAGCCAACGATTAATGCCTTAAATTCTATTTCAGATAGGCTTTTCAGTGGCAATGGGTAGTGTAAAAGTATAATGGTTTTCAGAATAATGAAATAGACTGTGTATTCTGGGGCTGGACTACCTGGGTTCAGATCCTATTGACACAACATACTAGTTGTGCAGATTAGATAAATTAATTTAATCTCTCTGCCTCCATACCTGACAAAGAGAAAGCACTATATGAATGTTAACTAATATTACAATTATCTCAGAAAACTTCTAAAGGACATTATGGCCATCTCCTTACTCTTTGTTAGTACTATTAAGCAGTTATACATAAAACCAAATGAAAGTTCATCAGTTTTAGGTCACAAAACAATCCTCTTGCTAATTAGATAAGGAAATTAGCCTTAACTGAGACTAAGACATTACCAGTAACATAACTATACACTTGACTTTCAGAGGCAAGACATTCTACTTGAACCTATATGCTTCAAGACTCAAATTAAAAATATATATAATAACAGCTTATTCTAAAACATTTACATAATCTGAAACTTTGTTCTATGAACAAAATACATACTTCTGGGGTGATCTGTTATCAACTTCAGCCTTCAGTCGTAAATTCTCCCTTACCAGGCCACCATTTTCCAATTTCAGTTTTTTATTTGCCTTAAAGAAAGAATTAAAAATAATTAAGCACAAGCTAAAATAAAAGTGCCTTTTAAAATTTATACCATGAGCCATCAGTATTTTTTAGAGTGATACTATCAGAAAACTGAATGCTGAAACGCAGCCTTCAGAAACTTAAAATCACCACCGGGAATGACTTAGGAAACTGTGAATGCAACCAAGCATTTTAAATCCATATTCCCCAAGCACTTTGCAAATCTCCTATCCAGGGAAATAAACGGGGCTATGTTAGTTAGGCATTAAGGGACTATACTAATGGCAATTTTTTTTTCCTTTTTCACATAACTGAATATTCTAAGCATGGTAACATTACACCACATGCAATTATTTGCAAAACTAATGCCAAGAGTTAATTCCTGAGCTCTAAGATTGATTTTTGGTTGCTGCTTAAAAACTTTTTTAGTGAGACAAATCTTATATTATTAAACCACTTGCTTTTTTTTTTCCTGCACAAAGCTTTCCCAAAGCCCTGACTCAAAACTTCCGGGATTCAAAATTGGGTTAATATTTTCTAATAAATTCTATGGATTCTCTTTTGATTAAAAAAATGATTTTTTTTATCATTTTAATGATTTCTCTTTTTTTGATTTTTATGACACCTAAAAATTGCTTCACAAAACATTAATTACTAGAAAGCCTAGGGACTCCATATTGACTCTGGACAGCCTGAAAAGCACTGTGCCTAGATTTTTGAATTTGCTTAGAAGTTACTCCCTTTAACTACTCTGGTCGTGCATTTTGGAATTCCAAGGAAAAATAAGATTCCCTAGAGGAGAAACCAATCTCACTAACTGGGCAGGAGAAATTCTTTGTTAGACTAGAACATTCTCATTCAAAATGAACAGGGCACAAGAACTGTTGTGAACCAAAAGTTTTAAACCAAGACGACTTAAATTTGCCCAATATTTTTTACTAAATTCCAGAACTTCTGACTGTATTACTTGCCCACCCACAAACAAATGCTCCAAATAAATGACAAGAGAAGCAAAGCAGAGAACCTTCTTTTGGGCACAAAGTCTAACTCTCTTAGATTCCTCTGGGTTTCTTTTGGGCTCTGAACACATGCTTGTCTTCCTGGTTGGAAACCAACCAGAACTGTGGAAGGTTAATTCTTTAAGTGACTGATAAACACCATTACTGCCCCTCTGAAGATATAAGAAAAGTCATTTACTTCCTCATAGACACAGACAATGAATGAAGCTCTCAAGCACAGCACAGGAGAGGGGGAGGCACTTAGTGAATGCTTTTTGATCGGATAAGCTTAAATTAGAAACTCATTTGAGATTACTTCTCCCCATCCCTTCTGTTTTGTATCACTACACTTCAAGGTCTCTCACCAGTCTCGTGCTTCTCTAATATTCTCTTTATGGGCTGGCTAGTTGCTCAACTGCCAGGAGATATTTTCAAGTTGAGGAAGGTTAGGAGGGCAAAGATTACAAAGGGCAGAGTTCTGCCTATTTGTTTCATCTAAAAAAAATAATGAAGTCGTCAGCTAACTATTTTGCATTCTCAACACTGACTGGGTAACGCAGCCTCATAATGGTTCAACACTCCGAAAATGTCAGGAAAAAAGTTCATTTCACTCATTCTCAGCAGTCCTTTATTCTGAATCTTTTGCACTCCTATATTTGATTTATAGTATGTTGTTATTTTGTACTTCTCGGTAGTCTGTGTTTTTAAATTTCTTTAAGCCCTGGTTTATTGCTTAGTACTACCTAATACCATCACGAGGCATCCAAAATGGGCTTATTAAATACCCCAAATAACGCTGAAGTCTCAGGGCAGCTTTGGGTATTAAATTTAACATGTGGCCTTTAAAAAAATCAAAGAAAAACTGAAAACTGTGTTTTTATGTACTTAACATCCCCATCCCACACTTAGTATCCCAGAGTAAAGTTTTCATCCCAAGCCTCATGCTCTAAGAAACATTTATTGACAAAATCTTAAATCAAGTTTAATAATTATAAAGGAGACCATACAAAACTTACTGATGGCTCAAGAAGAAGGCAAGTTAAAGGGGACATGGTAGATTGATAAACCCTGTAACTTCCCAGCTGTCTTTCCTTTTTGTGCCCTTTTGTCTTCATGCTAATTAATGCTGGCCATCAATACTGAAGAAATGACACACTTCCCCTTAACTTGTAATGAACTCAGTGGAATTGTGTCTGCAGTTTCTTTTTTTCTCTAAAAGCATCAAGTGCCCTTCTTTCTCTTATCTGGGCTTTTTCTAAGCTCAAACAACACTTTTTTTTTTTAAGTGGATGTGTGAAAATAGCTTAGTATTTACACTTAGTTATATACATTTCTCTGCTACTTAACCTCAGTAAGGATTTGTAAGCGAGTATGTGGTAGTACTTCTTGAAAATACCATATGGAGCTCACTAACGATTTTAGGAGGCAGGAGTTAGTAATTGAGCACAGTATTTTAAGGAAATGTAGATAGACTGAATGGGTGGTTGTGGGCCATAAAATCTCTCCATTCAGCACAATAGGACTCTACTGTGGATACACTTGAAGTCAAGATAAAGGATGGTCCCTTTGGCCAACAAAGCTCTACAGCACTTGATTATAATCTCTAGTGCTGATTACATATATCTCATCTCCCTTCCTAGACTGGAAAATCCTAGAGGTTTGGCTTTTTCACCTATGCTTTCTCTATGTTGTTGAACAAATGGAGTAATAATTTTTTAAAATGAACCCATGCTGTAAGGCACAATATTCTTCTGCATGAAATAGTCTAAAGAAGCTACAATCAGGTAACTTGGAATTAGCCATTAAGCCTGCAACTATTTACAACCTGAAATATCAGAGAATGGTAGTGCTAGAAAAACTATGGTTCAACTCTTTCATTTTATACGTAGGAAAATGGCTACATCCTTGTTTTTATGCATACAGGGCAATCACTGACATTAGCTTAAAAAAAGTTAAGGTAAACCACAAGGAGGGGAAATAGAAAGACATCCTTTAAATTGATGTCTCTCTCCTACAAGAAGATGCAAACTCATATAGAAGCATTAACAGTCTCCAATTATAGTCACAAATGGAACCACCTGATATTCCTTGGCAGCTAATGACATAAGGAGAAAAAGTTTTCCTACTGCTTGTAAATGCTCATTCAGGGATTTTTGTCCTTTTTCCACAAATTATCTAATGAATGAGTCAAAATAATATGCTATTAATACTTTTGAAGGTATTTACAATATTATAGAATTTTAAAACAATTATAATAATATTTTAAAACAACATATAATAGAATTTTATTTTGTTATAGGCAAAAAGGTAATTTTTATTTTTTATGAAAATAAGACACCAATAAAAATATAAAAATATATAAAAAAACTACATATAATAAAATTTTAAAAATGATCAGAACTTACCTCATTTAACTTATCTACATCATCTTTCACTTTTTCATAGATTTCATTAGCTGTTCTAAGTTTTTTCTTCCACTCTGCTATAGTTCCTGGGTCAATTTTACTTGGATTATCCGCAACTATATGCTTGTCTTCATTTTGGTTGCCCTGAATCAAGGTTAAAGGATCTAGAATAGTCTTGATTTGTGACTCCAAGCTGAGATTTTTACTCTTAAGCTCTTCTACCTCTTTCTGCAGGCAATCAATTTCATCCTGAAAAAGCATTGCATAGCCATTAGGTAGACAAAACACTAAGCACATATGTATGCTAACCTGAGGCAATGTGTTTTTTAATTTTATACTCAAAATTCCGTATAGATTCTTTACATATCAGAATAGTTTTGAAGGCAGAAAGTCATAAACAGTTGAAATTCTCAAAATGTATTCTGACTCAGATAAAAACTGGCATTCCCACTGCTTTCATTTAAATTCAGGGATAGCCCTGGCTGGGTGGCTTAGTTGGTTAGAGTGTTGTCCATACACCAGAAGGTTAACGGTTCGTCTCGACTCAAGTCACCTACAGGAGGCAAGCTCGATGTTTCTCTCTCACATCAATGTCTGTCTGTCTCTCTCTCTAAAATCAATAAGCATATTTTCCAGTGAGGACTAAACAAAAGAGAAATTTTAATGACAGCTTGTGGTTTTAAAAAATAAAATGTCAAATCTTTGATTCTATTTAAGATATCCAGGAAACAAAAGTTACATGAATTCAACAAGAAAGTAAATTCCTCAGAACAAAATTCCAAGGCATATTTAATTGCTTTCCTTATGAAGGGAAATTTAAAAATACAGTGTTGATGAAGATAATCTATTATAGTTTTGCTTGGTATTTGTACATCTGCTTCTATATTTAAAGTAGGAATTGAGACCATATACCATTTCCTTCACTTTCCATATCAGAATAATACCTGTAGTTAATTTTTACCTTTCCACATTCTGGTTCTTCAATTATCGCTGTGACTATTTCAAGTAGATTTCTCCATCTGGAACTGCTTATTATCTTAACCAATTATTAAACATTTGGGCTAGAACTCTTTTCTGCGATACCATTTATTCATCTACAACATATTACTTTTTAAACTAATACCATGAGAAATTCTGCTATTAGAAAATAAACTCCAAATAGCTAATTATGCCAGTGGTTTTTTAAAGGATTATCTTAATTAGTACCTAAATATGATAAATATTTACCAGGTTGCCAAAAAGTTCATTTGCTTTTTTCCATACAAAGGCTCCAGTACTGCTTAGTTGTCTTTAACTTCATTTGAAACAATTTTGTTAGATTGTATTGTGACAGCTGTCAGTCATATCAGTGTGCATTTAAAATAAAACTTATCAAAACTGGTGAATTTTTGTGCAGCCATTTTAATATTGAAGATGGAAGAAAATACACAACTTTTTCAGTATATTATACTTTATTATTTTAAGGTTGGTAAAAATGCAACTGAAACGCAAAAAAAGATTTGTGCAGTATATGGAGAAGGTTCTGTGAGTGATCGAACATGTCAAAAGTGGTGTGCCAAATTTCTTGGTATTATTGACATTTTGGCCAAATAATTCTTTGCTGTGGGGCTGGCTGTCTTATGCATTGGGAGACATTTAGCAGCACCCCTGGCCCCTACCCACTAGAAGCCCATAGCAGGAGATAACTGACATACTCAGAATATCCAAATCAATAAAGTTAGTGGTGAAAATAAAAACACTAAATGGACTTTTTGGCCAACCTGATATTAAGTATATAAGAATACATTTTAGAATTAATATAGGCAGTACTATTTACTATTTTAAGTTAGAATACATTGCAAGTTAAATAGCATTATAAAATGAGAAAATCACTTTAAATTAATATATTAATGAATAAACAAATATAAGCAGATCATCACACATATGAATGAACATTTATTTAGTTATTTCTTGATGTCCCAATTTATTTCAAAAAAATTTTGAGGCAGCTAAAGTAATTTTCGTGTATATAGTTTACCTTGAAGATATTTCGAATTAGAAGAAGAGATCAATAACATCCTCCCTTTAGTCAACATAAAAGCCCAAATGGGCTCAATATTTACTATTCAAGAGTACATGTATTTCATGAGCATGAAGCTAATTTGGAAAAATTCCATCACCATTTGAGAGCACCCTCACAGAAAGGAAACTGCTGTAGGTTCTCACTTATATATGGAACAGAAATGTCAATACATAGAAGCAGAGTTAAACCATGGTAGGGAAGTAGGGGAAATAGGGAGGTTAGAGAAGTGGGGAGACGGGTTAAAAGGTACAATATTGCAATTATGTAGGATAATTAAGTTTAGAGATCTAATACACAGCATGATGACTAGTTAATAATACTGTGTTGTATACTGGAAATTTGCTGAGGAGATGGACATGTTAATTAGCTTGACTGATGTAATCATTTCACTGCATATATGTATATCAAAACATCATATTGTACACCTTAAATATATATAATTTATATTTTTAAAAAAACACCATTTTACATGCAAAAAAACTAGGAAATACCATATTTCAGGCCAAAAATTTCTTTGCTGGTACTTGACACAGATATATTTCCACTAGCAGAACTGACCAGCCTTATAGTTATCAGTGAATTTACATGCAGAAACAAAAACACAATGAGGACCATAATCACTGTTTACCAGAATATTCGCCATGCCTTGTGGGGGTGGGAAGATTAGCTTTTACAAGAGGGTTTATCTCCCAAGTTCTCGAGGGAACAAGTAATTACAAAATGATGTGTCTACTGAGGACAGAGTTTAAATTAAAGGAAAGAAAAAAAAAAAAAAAGAAAGGCTTCTACCTCATCCTTACCACTATTTGAAATAGGAAAGAGAAAAAGAATTTATCAAATAAAAGATTTTTGGAACAAAGCCCACCCAACTGAGCCACAGTGGTCAGGGCCTATACCCTATGATCTCACCTATAAGCGGAACCTGATCAACAAAACAAGCCAGCCAGCAAAACAGAACCAGAGACACTGAAGTGTAGAACCAATGGACAGAAACAAGAGGGCACGTGGAGGGGGATAACGAGGGAAAGAAGGGGAAGGGGGTCGTCCAGGAACACGTATAGAGAACCCATGGACAACGCCAAAGTGGGGAAGGATTCGGGGTGTGAGGTGGGGGTGAGTGGGGCGGGGGAAAGTGGTGGTGGGATATGCAAACCAAAACAACAAAACAAATTTAAAAAAAAAGAAGAGATTTTTAAATTGGCATTTAAATAAGATTTCATTGGCTATTTAAGAAATTCAGGGCCTGAGATAACTCAAGTTTTATCTTGAATTCAATGCTGTCATCATTTTCAATTTTAATTATTATTTACCTCATATTCTTTGTGGAGTAACTCAAGTCTCGTTTTCCGAAGGTGCTTCCGGACTGTGTGGCTTAGCATAGGTTCACTTTCACTTGTCCCTCCTACATGGAAAAAGAATAATCTAACTTTTCATTCTAATTTGGGCAGAATGAAAACGAACCTTTTTCTTACTGTTTTATAGTTTCCCAGCTTAATTTCTACTTATATACATACTTAGGGCTGCCATCTTGGTCTTTTCTCTATCTCAACCATGAGAAAAGAGAAATATCAAATAATACCATAACTAATACCTTCAGTAAAATATGCTGAGTTTACTTACCTATGTATCATATCACAGTAAACTCGTTAAAGGTAAATGCTGGATTTTATTAATTATCACAGTTGGACTACTGTAAATTTTGAATATCAGACAATTCTTAAACGATAATAAAACCAATGATTATATTTATTTTTAATAGATTATATAAATAATTTATCTATATTTTTATATATAATTATAAAATATGTTATCTATATAACATATAATATATATACATTATGATATATTATTGTAATAAGTTTATTCATTCAAACATACCTAATTACTGGTAACACACTGAAAGATTAATGTGTCATCTCACTGGTTCCAACAACCTAGCTACAATGGATTATAAATCATAGCATTACTGTATACCAATAATGAAATCTTCCCAAGAGCTCTCCATTTATTCTGTGGTTACCTGCATAGCATCATGACAGCAAAAGTGTTTTTCCTATGTTCTTTTTCAGGACATTCTATACAAATGCAAGGATAGATGAACTATTTTATATTTGAGAGAATTTATGAAATATCACTTAGAGATGAATGAATAAATGAATGAAAGGAGGAGAAGGGATGTAAAGAGAAGCTGCCATAAAAAATTTTCAAATCATTTTAATACTCTAACCCAGCATTTTTCAACTTTTTTCATCTCATGACATACATACACTAATTACTAAAATTCAGCAGCACATCAAAAAATATATTTTTTGCCAATCCAACAACAACAAAAAATAGGTGTAATTTTGATTCATTCAGACCGGATAGCTATTGTCTTGGCTGTTGTCATTTCTTTAATTTGACATCTAATGGAAAAGAGGTCAATGCCCCTGACTAAATAGCGAGGCACTGCATGTTTTAAAAATTCTTGTGGCACACCGGTTGAAAATCACTGATCTAACCTCATACTTCGCAAGAAAAGACTTGACTTCTTGGTGAAGTTCAGTACAGGTGAAAAGCTAAAGGCAGAGTGGTTAGCCCTACAGTAAGTAGCACAGCAGAGAGGCATTCCTGTACAAGGCACTCAAGGCAGAAACTCTGGGCGATCTCTGATTCTTCCTTCGCATCTCCTGTTTCCAAAGTTCCACTAGTTCTTTTGTTCTAGCATATATCTTCCCTTCCATTTCCATTGTGAAAATCTTATTTAAGTCCATTTGCACTAATGTGGGACTAACACAGTAACTTCTTAAAGTTTCCCATAAGTGTTTGCTATACATAGCTAATAACAGATTCACTTTCAATTTTTCCTAAAGCAAAAACAAAAATCATTTTAATTTTTGCAATGTAAGAGAAATACCTTATAAGAGCAGAATAAATATCCAACATGAAAAAAATCTCTTTAAATGTTTTATTTTTCAAGGATCTTCTAGTTTGTTTTATCCCCCCTTTTACCTACCTTAGTAAGGCATTAAATGTTGTTTTTTACCCTTAATCCAGACTCACACTTTCCCTCACCTGGGCAAGGACCTCCTTCTCACATCCTCTCTCCCCGCTCCGGCCCACCCTACCCTGGGGCCCCTGAGGAGTATTCCTCAAGCACATTTTGGATCATGCAGCCGCCCCTCCAAACCATCATGCCCACACCTCACCATTCTTCTCACCGATAGAGCAAACCCCTAATTTAATTTGTCACTCAAGACTCCCTGCACTAAAGTTCACCTTACCTTTTAAGTCTCATTTCAGTAGTCAGACCCAAACCAGACTACTGATAATTTCTAAAAACATGCTTTTTTTTCCCCCCACCTCTAAACTTTGGTTTATACTACTCATATCCCCTCTGCCTAAAATGGCCTCCCAACTATTTATCAGTTGAAATTTTATCTATCCTTAAGTCTCCAACTTAAAAGTCCACATGCTTCATGAAACCTTTCTCGATGTTGCTAGGTGAACTTTCTTGCCTGAACACTCTGGGCCTTTTCTTGGCCTTTAGCATCTACTGCTTTAAACCAGGAATATTTTGGTCCACATGCACGATCCCTACCAGAATGTAAGTTCCAAGAAGCTCTAAGATGTCTCATAATGCCTTAATGCCTTGAGCTTCTCAGTGGCTCGACTTACACTATACAAATGAGCAGTCCATCCAGTATGATGTTGGCAAAATAACACCATTGAAAACTGTCTATTTCAATCTTCCTTCAAATATACACTATTTAGAGACTGTTTCAAATCTATTTCTATGTGTTTATAAAATAGGCCCTTACCAATAATCTCTTTGCAAGGATTTTCAGGAGTGATGGGGACTCTGCAAGCTGGACACTGGCTGTTATTCTTCAACCACAAATCGATACAAATTGAACAAAATACATGGTTGTTGATGCATATGACAGGCTGGCGTACCTTGCAAAAAAAAAAAAATTACTTTTAGTACAAGGCAACAGTAATAACTAGAATCCCAATAGGCTCCATTAATAGAGACCGAAATTTCTGACATACAGGGTGGGGCAAAAGTACGTTTGCAGTTATTCGTATGGAAATACAATAATTAATAAATAATAATATAAGAAAAAACTATGTTTTGCGTACTCACAACTGTAAACCTACTTTTGCCCCATGCTGTATTATGAAATGGTTTCATTTTGTTTCAAACCACATTCATGTCCACAGAGAAAACACATTTAGTTCCACTAAGGCTGGGACAGTGCTCCTTCAATTATTCTATTTTAGAATTATGAAACAAGAAATAGAAGGTTTTTTAAAGATCATTTAGTCCAAGCACCCATCTGATATTTGAATCCTTCCCTCAACTGATTCTATGTTATAGAGCAACAACCACCAACAATTAAATACTGACATCTTAATGGAAAGTCTCCCAAACCAAAGAGGCATGAAACAACCCTAAAAGCCGTGAGTACCACTCTCAAATGGTATATAATCTAAACAGCACTTTATGCTAAAAGTGTCACGCACAAATCTCTAATTCTGTTTAAACAAGTACGAATAATAATAGTTAACATTTATATAGTCACATACAGGGTCTGGTCGAAGTAACATCTGCTTGACTGTGGTTGGTGTGGTTGGTAGGGTACATGAATGTCTCGCACAAGATGGACAGCAGTTTGAACATGTCACCTAAAATATCATATGCTGTGCTTGAGGGTGATATTGTTATACTACAGAATTACATGCTTATGACTTTGTAATAATAGGGGTGTCATTTGTGCCAGACCCTGTATTTTACAAAGGGCTTTAACATTCTTTTTCTCTTTTTCTCTGTTTGTTTTGCTTTGTTTTTAAATAACCCTGTGAGGTAAACAGAGTAAATATACTTTACAAATAAGAAAACCCAGGTGATAAACTTAGGTGGCTTGCTCAGGGTTAACTAGGTGTTTTGACTGTGTTTAGATGTTTCATCAGAGGGAAAATAAAGAGAAGAGTTGCTTTAGTTTTTACCTGACATTGTATTTTGGTTGTTCACACATGTATTATCTATCTCTCCAGAGAAAAATAGGAGAAACTACTTTAGTTTTCTACCTGATATTATATGAATTTACATATTTATTGTCTATCTCCCACATTAGAATGGAGGCTCCATGAGAGCAAGGACTTCCTTAGTTTCATTCCTTCCTAAACCCTGGTGCCCAGAAGACAGCTTAGTACACAGTAGGTATTTAGTAAAGGTTTGATAAATGAAGTAATTGCTATTAAGACAGTATTTAACATTCAATTCAAGCTGGGGCACTTAGCAGAGGGAATAATGATCTAAAATTCTTCAAACAGCACAAATTTAATAGTAAAAACAAAAAAGAAATGCTTAGGTTCTCATTTGATTTACATGGTATTTTTACTGTGGGACTCAAAACACTTTATAACCATTTTCAGAATTTTCCTGTTCTAATAATACCAATGCTATTGTAGAATCCTTCTGCATTAGGGACTGGGAGATCAAGGGAAAGCAGAGGAAGTAGAAGAAGAAAGGGACAGAACCACTACAAACCATTTGCTGCAGAGAAAATGCTTGTCTACCTGGGTACATAAATACTCAGAAGATGAGTGTTAAAAGGGGTCCCTACCCTCAAGGAAATCACAGATGTATGTATGGTGATCCATGCCAGGCAGGTAATCAGCTGAAGTCTCACTACGAAGTGCTCTCTGGTCTTAGTTTGGCTTCCAAATTTAGATGCCCCCTTAATTATGAACACTAGCATAAGAAATCTAAACAGAGATAATTCAGCATGGATTTAAGCTTCTTAGAGAAACCAATTCTACTTCATTCAGTTCAAATGATTTGATTATATGAATTAAAATAAATAAATGACCATGAAGCACTCAAACTCTTCTTCCAAAGTACTCTACCAACAGCAAGGAGTGAATGCTTATCTGGAAGTATGATGTGATTTATTAGAAATATATATATATTTGGTCATTCAAATAACAAATACATTTATCAGATATTTGTCTTCATCCATAGCTCCCGTCTCACAGCTCCCAAACCTCTAAGAATTAACAAAGTGATGAGAACAACAGTGTCTCTTATCATGTTAATGAGGTGACATATTTTTAGAAAGAGAGAGGAAGTGGGAGAAACACCGATTTGTTGTTCCAGTTGTACGTGCATTCTTCATTGGTTGATTCTCGCGTGTGCCCTGAACCAGGATCAAACCCTGTAAACCTTGGCATAGGGACCACACTCTAACCAACTGAGCTACCTGGCCAGGGCAATGACATGACTCTTTTTTTTAACTTTACTGTTAGTGTTGGCACTATTACACTTGTGCCCATTTTTCCCCTGTGCTCACCTCCCCGAAGCCCTCGCCCCCACTTCCCTCAGCCCGTCACCCCACTGCTGCCTGAGTCAATGGGTTAGGCATATATGTTCTTTAGCTAATACTTTCGCCGTCTTTTATCCAGTTCCTCCCTCCCCCCTGACAGCTGTCAATCTATTCCATGTATTAAGTTGGGGGCTGGTTGCCAGAAGAAGCCAACTTTCAGGTTGCACGATTGGAACTTTCAATCCTATCTCCCCTATTTCCAAAGAGGGAAGAGGGGCTTGAGATTGATCAGTTCACAACGGCCAATGACTCAGTCAATCATAACTAGTAAAGGAACCTAAATAAAAACCCAAAAGGACAGATAGAAGGAGATCTGACTCGCGGTAATGAACATACAATATACAGATGATGTATTATAGAACTGTACACCTGAAACCTATACAATTTTATACTTTTATTAACTAATACCACCCCCAATAAATTAAAATTTTTAAAGAAGCCCCAAAGGTCAGCTTGTCAGTCCTCTTTCAGAGCACCAGAGTGCTTCCACCTGCCATGACCACAGGGCCGGAGCTCCAAGAGGACAGAAACTCCTTTGTTTGAGACTTTATTTATCTCTTCATCTGCCTATCAACTTGTATCCTTTAATATCCCTTGTAAATAAATAGATAATTTAGTGGCTAAATGGGTTTTCCTGAGTTCTGGGAACTGCTGTAGCAAATTAATCAAACCCATGTAGGGGGCAGCATTGGAACCTCTGATTTACAGCCAGTCAGTCAGAACTACCAGTACAACCTGTGCTTACAACTAGCATCTTAAGAAGTGAAGAGGGTCTTGGTGGGACTAAGCCCTTTCTTTACCCACGGGAGCGGGACTGGCGCCACAGAAAGCCAAATTCCTCAGAAGGATGGAGAATGAGATCTAAAGCACAGCGGGGAGAATCTGGCTTACACAGGAGTAATATTCTGACTTCCATTGCAACAAAAAAGGAAGGCTGCGGGTGTGAGATCGCAAAGCCGTTGGAAGATCTGCTGATAGAAAGAGTAGAGAACTCATGCTGCAACTGTTCTAATTGCTTGTATTTTGTCATGAAATATGAGGTGAGGTTACCGGCTGAAAGTGAGAAGCGGAGAAAGACAGCAACTTGAGAAAATGGGAGACTAAAGCAGTTATTTTAAACATGAGAAAGGAAACTTACTAAGGACATGGAGTGGGATCGCCAAACACTGTTGAGTTCTAATTTGAGCTCTGTGGTTTTGACTGTAAAGACCAATTAGCATCAGGTGTGTACTTTTCTTACTGACTTTTAAGCCACTCAGGTTCAGGCATAAAGTAAATGAGTTGAAGTTTTGCCAAGGAGGAAGAGAGAGACAAGGGGCTGATGATAATAAATGGCCATGGGTAATAAGGGAAATGAGTACTTGAATAGTAATGACAGTGAGAGAGTCACAGAGTCAATGGATGGGTCTGGTAAAGTGGAAGTGTTGCAGAGAGTACATGTGATGGGAAGAGGAGCCTGAAATGCTTGTAATCAAAATACTGGAAGTGGTACAGCTGCTTTCTCTAACGTTGTGTCTTGGGCCATCATATTTGACATAGTTCTATTTCTCTCTTAATCTCATGTATCATGTGGTGTTAACTTATTTTCTATGATGGCAACTTCTGAGCATCCTCTGTAAATGGACCTCATGAAGTGGCAGAGCTTAGGCATCGAGAAATAAACCTGGGGCGAACTCCAGCTCCGCCATTCACTGAGCTGTTTGACCTTGGTTAAGCCCTTTAGTTACATGGGGCATCAGTTTCTGCCTCTAAAAACTGTAGTTTAACCTAGTACACTTTTCATTTATACTTAAGATTTAATGGTGTAAAGACATAATAAGCACAAAGACTCCACATAGCAACACCTCAAACAAACAAATAAAGAAAAAGGAACAGCCCTGGCTGGGCGGCTCAGCTCGTTGGAGCACTGTCCGACTCAACAAAAGGTTGTGCGTTTGATCCCCAGTCGGGGCACATACGGGAGGCCACTGATCAATGTTTCTCTCTCACATGGATGTCTGTCTGTCTGTCTGTCTGTCTGTCTGTCTGTCTCTCTCTCTAAAAACCAATGGACATATCCTTGGGTAAGGATTTAAAAAAAGAAATAAAAAAAGAAGGAAGACAAAGTAACATTACTGCTCTACCGGCTTGCCCAGGAGCTAGCTCCACATAAGGACCTTACAGCTGCCTCAACCACAACATGTCCAAAATCAAACTTGGCCTCCTCCACATTTTCACTCCTCTTACACTCCCTCTTGTCTAAGTTAATAGCACCACTGCCCCCCGACCCCAGCCGCCCCTGCCACCACCTGCGCTAGAATACTCAGAGCTGTCTCTGACTCCTCTTTTTCACTTCTCCTCAACACCTAATAGGTCACCAAATTCTGGTATCAGTGATCAAGTCTAAAAAGCCAGAGATTTTAAGATGCACTAGTAAGTAAAATGAATGAAAATGCTGCCACTCACAACTATAAGATGCCATCACTTGTAAGCTACCACCAGGTTTCAGAGGTGGCATAACGTGAATGTCTCAGAATAGTTGAAATATGGTGAATCAGTCTCTAAATGTTCTTTTACATAATCATAATG